AGGGCCGTACCACCCTTGTTGTGAGGCAGTATCATATCGATACACTTAAGAGGTCCTCTAGAGGGACCAGGAGAGGATCTCTCTGGTGCTGGACATGCTGCCCGTGACGGTGGGGTGGGAGGCGATGCTAAGGCAGAGCTATACACAACCACTGTGGTCGATACCATCACCTCTCTTGATAGAGCCCTCAGTGACGATAGTTGGCATGGTGGATGCCAGCATAGGCGTCGCACTCCTGAGACACCGATATGGAAGTTGACGAATAAACTCATAGCAAGTATCACTTGGATAACAAGTCACGTCTAAGATGAGGTACATGGATCCGGCCGAGTCGCCTCGCATGAGAAGCCATGAGGTGGACACAGCTCAGTCTCCCAGCCATGATGGCCAACTGGACAGGAGTGAGCGAGCCTGTACAAATGGCGCTGCCTGAAGAAGTACCATCAGCCTCATCATCAACAGCTACTGCACTACTCATCTCAGAGTGCTGCTCTGATGCTCCAGTAGCTGTACACTCCTCTGCTGGGTTCTCGAAAGGGTTCACACCAGCCTCCATAAAGATACGACACAGTCTACTGCAACCAGCCCAAGCCGCCTGTCCAAAGAGGATGAGCTTCTTCTGAGTTGAACACTCCTTCAATAACCGGCGTATATAACCCTCGCTGAGAGGCCCCACACCGAGCTCATCAGCAATGATGCTCCATGGTAGGACCTACGGGTGATCACAACGTAGTGATGCATAGAGAGGTGCTCACCAGAGGCGGACCGTCCCGCACCACGCGACGGTTAAGCCGCGCTGACGTCTCCACAATACGGAGGACGTCCCGATCAAAAGCTATAGACAGCAAGCGTTTGAGGCCACGACAGGATCCTGCTGGACGGTCAGAAGAGCGTGGGCGCAGTGACTGTCGGAGCACGCTGGTCACTTGGGGATATCTACGATATAACAGTGAAGGGAGTAAGGCGACGACCACCACCACCAACACACCCAAAGCAGATGTCTCTCTTTTGAGACTGCAGGTCAGATGCAGGAGTTTCGCGGTACTTATCAATAGCCACGACAAGGCGTCTATAGATGTCCCCTCCAGCACGCATTGGGGACCTCACCACTTCCAGACCTTCCACACACAGCGATGACGTGACCATAGATACTTTTCACTACCATAAACTCCCCGAGCGAGCTGATCCTGTGCTTGGTCGAGGGACTGTACATGTGCCTCCACAAGCTGCTTCACTCTGAGGAGTCCTTGGTCCTCTAGTGTGACTGGAGAAGCACAATGTGCTAGCTGTGGAAGCG